CATCTGATGAGGAAAAATAAGCATTCTTTGTAAGTGGGCAAACCTGCTAAATCAGCAAGGGCTCAAATACTTATTTCCCCCACTGTATATTGATGATAATAATCCAACAATGGAGCAATCCCAAACTGACATAAAGGTACTGATCTGTGGGAGAGGTGTCCTGTGATGAGAGGAGGTAGAATTAAACAGAATCCACACTAAAGTAAAACAGTGTTTACGGACGAATGAGGGAAGAAAAACACAGAACACACAAGGAATTCAAAACACTCGAGCCCAAAGATCACGACACGCCGGGTTAGAAACTGATTGTCTGATGGAGTCTATATCTACTGCTGTTATATATATATATATGTATATATATATCTACTGCTGGCTCAGAGACCATGAAACATCCCTTAGTTCTGCCTCCATAGGTCCGGGTTCTGGGGAAGCTCTCACTGTTCATCCTTTAGTTTCGCGCGGCTGAATAGCCTCTCCTTCTCTCCCTTTGTGTGTTTTCCTGCTGGTGTCTATAGCTCAAATGCTTCCAACTCTCTCTGTTTGTTGTTTACCCGTGCTATTCTTTTTCTTTTCGCCTCTTCTCACCCAACCCATCCAACTCAAGTCAGCCACTGCCAGAGACTCTTCCTGTGAAGAGAGTTATTCATCTCTCCCCACTGCTGCCAAGTGTTTGCTCCTAGGGAATTGTTAAGGATCTATTTATGACAGTCTCAGGTCTTCCTCTTAAAGAAACAGGAATACAATGAGATAGGAACCATAAATCAAGTCACACAGCAGCACAGAAGCTGATTCATCCGTGATATTTAGAGGAAAAATCAACTGTATTTGTGTATGAGTACATATGAGAAGCATACAGCACTGATTCAATTCCATATGTCAAATCTGAAGCTTCAAATGTAATTACGTTAGATTTGATGTTACCATTGATTTAACCCTATAATGCCAAATGTGTCATATTTGATACATACGGAGACCTTTTGCATCATTCAGTGGTAAAAGCTTTGCTCAAACCCCTGTTGTACACATTCAGATATACCTGAGTTAATGTGGGCCACCAGTCACAATAACATCAGTAACAGGTCAGTTTGAAACCAAAGACACTAACCTGTCAAAATTCAGTTACATTTTGGGGTTTTTGTTTTTATCCTTGTGGTATCGAAAATGGTATCGAGTATCGAGTATTTTCCTGAGTATCGGTATCCATTTGAAAATTTTAGTATCGTGACAACCCTAGTGTGTACGACTGTCAGCCTCAGAAAGAGAGACTCTTTGAAAGGGCAAATAAATAAATACAGTGGGGGAAATAAGTATTTGAGCCCTTGCTGATTTTGCAGGTTTGCCCACTTACAAAGAATGCTTATTTTTCCTCATCAGATGGTTATCAACTTTTATAAATTCATATGATGTGATTTTCTGGAATTTTCTTTGGGATTCTGTCTTTCACTGTTAGAATGTACATATGATTAAAGTTATAGATCGTTGCATTCTTATCGTGACAGCCCTAGTGTGTACAGCTTCACACTCTGGTTCAGGTTTCTAAATATACCCTCCTCTGCAGCTGTTTCTGTCAGGACTGACCTGGAAACAGAAAAAAGGGAGAAAAGGCACGTGGTGAGCATGTATTCCTGCCAAATCCATCTCTGCTCTGCCAATAAAACAACCGCCACAAATTAATGGGAGAAACTCAAGGGAACGGAGCTGTGACGGGGGTATTAATGAAGAATTTAGCCCTAATTCACTTCCCTGTGACATTTCAGGATGTGGAGGTAATTGAAGGGTAGATTTATTCTTCCCTTTATATTGAGCGGAGAGAAGTGCTCTTGATTTGATGTGTAGACTTCCCATTATATTTAAGCTATTAACCCTGTAATGCCAAATGTGTCATATCTGATACGGTTTCTGAAATGTTTTGCGTCTGACTCCTTTTGCATAATTTAATGGTAAAAACTTTGCTCTAAATCCTATTGAACACAATCAGATACACCTGATAACAGGGGGCAGAAGATACACAAAAATAATCTGGACTTATCGCATAGTAAGAAATTATTAATATTAAAAATGTATTTCTGTTTTTTCTTTTTACATATTTTGTTAATAGGCCAAAATAAGGAAGTCAAACCCAAAAAAAGTGATTTTCTGTTTTGTTTTATTCTTGGATCAGGCTTTAAAGGGTTAAGGACTGCACTACTCAGAATTACCTGGAAACTCACCTTACACATGCACATGGTTATCATATCATATATGAAATATATATATATCATATATACACGGCCTATTCCACTGTTATCATATCTGAAACCCTAAAAAACAGGTAAATTGACCTCTTGGGCATTTGCAGTTTGGCCATAAAACTGCAGACGAATGATAAATAAAGCGAGTCACTCTGAAGATTCTGTGGTCTGTTTTTTTATTTTCATATCAGCCATCATTTGCTTAATGAAAATAAGATTTGACCTGTGTGAGTCACTCACAAAGCTTCATATCTGAACATTAAAGTAGCCTCTGGTGGCGCCGCTAACATCGACAGCTAGCAAAGATGATCATCGCATGTGAAGGACTCTGTTGGAGCTATTTATTCCTATTTCTTTATTCATTTGAATTTTGTTAGTTAATTCTTAAATGTATATTTTTTTATTATTTGCAGAATTTATTTGCAGGTTAATAATACAAGATTGGTAGACTTGGTTAGATTGTTAATTTTTGCAGTGTTGGAGCTATTTATTCCTATTTCTTTATTCATTTGAATTTTGTTAGTTAATTCTTAAATGTATATATTTTTTATTATTTACAGTATTTATTTGCAGGTTAATAATTGTTGATTCTATTTAATTTCTTGTCTTATTATTTTTCTTATTCCTTCTTTGAGTTAGACAGGAAGTCATGTGGGTCAGTCCACTTTCCTATAAGTATAGGGGCCTGGTAAAGGACCAGTCCACTTTTCTATAAG